GTTGAGATACAAGGAAAAAGGCTGCCATCTACAATTCAGGATGAAGGTCTTCACCAGTTCCCAGCCAGGCTGGCCCTCTAAACCTGAACTTCCAGCCTCTGGGAAGATGAGAAATAATCCAGCCATGGTGTAGCATCCTGAGCTGACTAAGGCATGGGGTAGCCTCAGCCTGAGCCCACTTGGTTCTAAAGCATGGAGATACTCTGAGAGGGAGTGGGAGAGGAGGTCATCCAGGTTATTCAGGTGCTGATTTCCTGGGTTAGGAATTCAAGGGCCAGGAACATGGTCTGCAACACCTGATTCAGGCCTGCCCAGCCCCTTCCTCCAAGAGGAATTTGGCACCAAGGCCCTTGTGATTGTTCAAATGTAAATGATTGCGCAAGGCTTAGACCTCAACAGAGGGGAAGGAAAATCCAATTGTGGGTCATCTCCACCTATATAAAAGATTTCAAGCCCAGGTAAGCTCTTTGATCTAGGTCAGGTTGGAGTTTTTTTTTTTTTTTTTGGTGGTGTCAAAACCACAGAACAGGGGCTGGGATTGTGGCTCAGTGGTAGAGCACTTGTCTGATATGTGTGAGGCACTGGGTTCGATTCTCAGTACCACGTATAAGTAAATGAATAAAATAAATAACAAAAAAATAAACAACAAAAACAAAAACAAAAAACCTGCAGAACAATGCAGATGTGTTTTGCCCCAGAGCTCTGTAATCAGTTACTGGGGTAGGCTTCTTTCTACTATTTTCTCAGTCTCTAAATTTTGGGGTCTTCTTAAGATGATTTTCAGTCATTGCATCCATTTAGTTCTTCCTTCTTTATCCATTTTCTTGTAATCCTTCTTTGTCAAATTCATTTCTTCCTTTGCACTTCTAATGTGTATCCCAGCTCAGCCTTTCAGACTCCTGCAGTAACTTGCCAATTCACCCAGTACTTCTAGGCTCCTCAGTACATCCTAAGCATTGCTAAAGCAGACAAACTTTTGCCTCATGTATGGTTTGATCAGCTTCTCCCGCTGGTCCACACACTGCAATACCCCACACCATCTACCAGGGCCCTTCTAAATGCCTCAGTGCATATGTCCAGCACTCCTGTCCATGGTCTCTACAGCTCCTCCTAACCTGATATCCACAGCTGCTTAGCCTGGTTCATGGTCATTGAAGGGAACCACAATGGAGAGTAGAAGCCACAGCTGCCTCAGAATTGTATGCAATATTTTAACTCTTCTTTTTTTCTGTTTCTGCTTTTGTTTTGTTTGTTTTCACTTCTGGGAAAAGTTTTCAAAAGATGCTCTAATACAATTTGCATTGCCTGAGTTCACAAAATCCTCCCATTCAAGCTTGTCTGTTAAATATATACTCAAATAATTCAAATTCTTGGTGCATGAAGGCAACCAGGGGAACAACAACTACCTGAAGCATGGTGGACAAGTGGGTTACAAGTGCGTGGGTGTACATCAGGGGAACAGGCATCAGATGTTGGAGGAAGTCAGGCAGC